TATCTATCATTATTTCAAAAAATTGTTTGCTACAGTACAATTCTCCACTATACATTCACATAATAAAATATTCTACACACAAATTAATAAAGTTACTTTAAATTTCAATCATACATTTTCTAAAAAATACTATTCATTATTCTATTTTTTTCAATAATGGAAGACAAACACACCTTAAGTCTTCTCGTAAGAAGCTTGGTAAAAGTGAAATTTGATTTGGGGAACCGATCATGCAACATGCCATAATCATTAACATAGTACTTCATATAACATCTCATGAAGTTTTATCATTAAATTGTTTAAATATTGTCAACTTTTATATGAAATCATCTACTTTCACCTAAAATTATGTCACTGCATCCGGTGAAATTCGTCTTGCGAAGTGATAAATCCTGCACCTTAATACCCCTATATATTTTAGCGCATTTTTACTTTAGCATTATATTTTAGGTTAATTTTATCGACGGTCACTATAGTTTCAAAATTATCATTAAAATTAAGCGCTTACATATTTGATCATTTTGTCAACAACATCAAGGTAAAAGGCCGATGTGACAACATTAAAATCAACAGCAACAAATGTGACAATAATTAAATTGCCAATTTGCCACCAAATGAAATTGTCCCTCCAAGATAAATCGTCCAACCTCAAAAAACATTTTCTCTTCATTAAGTCCCAAACTTCAGTCCCCAAATCAAATCCAATGGCATATAAACCCAGACCCACGCCTGCTTCCAAATCGAAGGGAATTTTGAATTGGGTATTTTACATAATTTCTAGTTTGATAGGTGAAATTGTAAGTTTTTGTTGGACAAATATCAAACGTTTTGTGAAAATCTGGTAATTTGTTGGACAAGTCTCAAGTCTGCTATGCAAGAGTTGAGTATGCTAAATAAATATGGAGAATACAAATCTTGAGTTTGTTTGACTTTCTATTTTCAAACGCTCATTATTATTTATTGACAACTTCGAATTGCACTCTCTCTTTTTCGTCGAACTCTGAATTCAATTATTTTTTCAATAAGGTGTGTTACGTATAGAGTTGAGATATGTTATTCTTTCTAGAATTAAGCCTCACATTCAAGCTTAATTTGACAGAATCTATACAGGGTGCACAGCAACACCCAATGTCTTTTTTTCTTTCCTTTTTTTCATCTTCCAATAAAAACCCGCAAAGTGTTATCTGTGAAAGTTGTTTGTACTTATAGCATGATTGTTCTTTCTACTATTCTAAATAGAAATTAGACCCTTCATTATATTGACCTTAAACTCTCTAGGGCTCCGCTAATAGATCTAAACAATATATTTGTCAACATTTATGTTACATGCACATTAAGCCATGAACTATTATCATAGAAAAACACCTAGCTAAAAATGGTCAATGACCGTTGGTACTCCTACAATCAAGTTAATTGTCGGTATAAAGTAATTGTTGGAAAAACTGGAAAGAATGGCTGACTTTGGCATTAATTTTGAGCGGGACCCGCTTGACTATTTTGAAATATAAAAGTTGATTTGTGTTTTCCTCCGTGAGTATGTCGAAATCATATACTTACTTGTCA